AGAAATTTTTCATAACATAAGTCCAATATGCATAGTTCTCACCTTTTAATCTGACACTGATAGCCTGAAGAGAATCAGAATTTTCACTTGCCACAATACCCAAATCAAGCAATTCAAAGCAAATATTAAAGTAAACAAACAGCCTAATAACCTAGCAAAATCCAACAACCCAGCAAACAACAACCAACAAAATTCAGCAACCCAGCAAAACAACTATAGCGAGGCAGCAAAACAGTGGAACAGTGGAAGATCTCAGTAAAACAACAAACAAGGAGAAGACCCAAAGCATAAAACAGTATTTGCAACCCAAACACAACGTGTTGTCTCAAAAATATAGACTTCAGGCCACTGTTCTTGTTGTGAACAGTAGGTTGAATGTCCCAAAGGGCTCCAAATCACACCAAAGTCCAACCAAATGTGTTCAAACCACACAACCGGCCATCTAATCCCCCTAATCGCACCTTTTAGACTTGATTTGAAGCAAAAAATTCAAAGAAAACAATCCTAAATTGCAGATCGAAAAGTAGGTCCAAGGGTTTTGAAAAATCATTCAAAAATTGAAAAACCCTATCCAATGACCATGAAAGAGAAAAACAAGCATACCACAATATTACTCATATAAAATCGAGTCTGGCAGTGTTCTTCATCTGGTCTAGAATGATGACGTCAGCCTGACATCATCTTTGAAGCTCGCTGAAGTCAGCCCTAGCAGTCAGGCTAGCAACTGTTCATCACTCCTCCAATTTGTTGCTATAGTATTGAAAATATTTAGGACCTAAATATGCTCTGATACCATGTTAATTTAGATCAAAGAAGAAAGAAAGAAACAAGAAGAACGAAATATTATTGAGGCACAATTAGCCAGAACAGCATAAAAAGAAAAGTACATACAAGAGGTCTTTATATAGTAGGACAACATAAAAGAAAACAAATGACTAAGCTACCCCTAAGTCTAAATATGTTAACTACTCTAACAGTGATCAACCATGTTCGTGTCTCTGGTGTCTAGTCATCGATGGGGATTAGTGTTTGCATCCTAGTTTAGTTCCAATTCAATGATATTCGGCCCAGTTTGGTGCTAATTTAGTGGGCTTCATCCGGTTCAATTCCAATTCAGTGTTTTTAGCCCGATTTATCACAGTTCAATGGTTTTCAAGCTTGTTTGGTGTTGGTTTAGTAATTTTTATCCTGGTTCAATTTCAGTTCAGTGTTTAGTCTGGATTAATGCCTGTTCAGTAGTTTTTAGACTAATTTGGTGTTGGTTAGTGTTTTTCACCCCATTTAATTCCAGTTCAGTATTTTCAACCTGATTTGGTGTCGATTAAGTGATTTTCAATATAGTTTGGTGTTGGTTTAGAGGTTTTCATCGCGGTTGAATTTCGGTTATGTGTTTTCATTTAGTTTAGTGTCTATTCATTGGTTTTCAACACAATTTGGTGCTGATTTAGTGGTTTTCATCTCGTTTCTGTTCTAGCTTAGTGTTTTCAGTCTGGTCAAGTGTCATGTTTAGAGTTTTCATTTCGATTCAGTATTGGTTTTATTGTTTTTTGCACCAGTTCAAACCCTTTTTGGTTGACCCTGTTTTTTATTATTGCAATTTTATTTGTTATTGCTTGTGACTCATTGTGTTGTGGTTGGTTGTGTTCGTTTGTGTGGCATTATTAATGGTGGTGTTAGTGTCGTTGTGTTTGTCTTTTGTCATCAGCGTGTTCTTTTCCTCTATGTTGTCATGATCGTCGTGTGATATTTTGTTTTGGTGTAATCGTTAATTTCTTCTTCAGAATACTAAAGTAATGTTTTAGACTTCACATAGAGCAACAACCCGCATTTGTTTGGAGCAATCCCCTAGGGCTTGATTTTATCACCCTTATTGTCTATGTGGAGATATCGTCGTTAACTTGGAGTTCTTTTCTCACAAAACCATCGGCATCGTCTACCTTTAGTAGCCTTTATTCCAAGTTGGACATTTTTTATCTCTGTGCTCTAACTTGAGAGGAGGGTATTACAAGTGTTATTTTACTATTGTTCTACTTTCCTATTATGTTACTTTTCTATTGTTCTACTTTTTCATGGTTTTCCTATTAAATAATTGTATACTAGGGGTAAGGAAAAAAAAGAGAAAAAGAAGAGAGGAAGAAAGAGAGTATGGAACAATATAGTCTGTAGGATATATGTTGTCAGCACCCTAGCACCTATTTAAATTAGATTGATATTGAAAACAATTACAACATTAGTAAAGTAGAACATAATAAGAAAATAGAATAATAGGAAAGTAACACTAATAATAACTATTGACGATTATAATCCTAAACAAGTAGCAGGATTTATGTAGCTAATAACCCTAAACAAATTGGGGTAAGGCTTTTGTCATGTTGAGTTGTGAATAGTGTGCATCACGAGATTTGAACTGATTCAATAATTTAATAATAGCCTACCCAATAATATGTAGATGGTCAACCTTGCCATGAAGCGACTGGAGCTAGATGTAGCAGTGCTAAAGCCAATGCCAGCTTTATATTTGCAGACTGATTGTAATGCACTTTTAAATAAAAATTTGGACAAAGTCATGCTCCTCTTTGGATTTGCTTTTTCAGTTGATACTTTAAGAGAATTCCTTTGTTTTAGAACATCTCTCTCTCTCTCTCTCTCTCTCTCTCTCTCTCTAATATATGTGTGCGCATTCAAATTCTTCGAACTATCAACTGCAATGTTATGGTATTGAATCTGAAATATTCACCATGTGCAATTCAGCAAGTGATGCAAAACGGGAAGAAAAAGAAAAAAGAGGAGATTACCAAACACTCAGATTAGGCCAAGAAACACTATGGTACCAGATTCATATTAACTTCACACTGATGAAAACATTATGGTTACGTACTTATAGGCTATTCTCCTACAAAGACCTGAATATTCTATTTTTTTTGGTCTGGTTACTTCATGAATAAGAAGAAGAGCATAACTCGGAATAAAACATACAAAGTCAGAAGGAAATTCTAGGCAGGTGGGGATCATCAGTGGGTACCTCCGAGCCAATGCCTTCTCTTGCTTGCTTGTCCACTATTTGCAAGAACTTCCCAGGTGGGTTTGCTGCGCAGTACGTGGGAATGATGCCATTCCTGGTTTGGGGGGCTATTATGTGAACCGGCTGGTTCAGTTCTCTTCTGATTGCTTGAAATTGAAGTGAAGGGAGCTTCTGCGCATACTGTCGTAGTCATGAGTGATTTAGAATCAGATTTTATTGTCACTACTTGGTATCCTTCTTCAATTGACATACTACATGCTCGTGTTACTGCCCAGCCCTCTGAAGCTAGGGGGTATGCCAGATGCACCTGTTAACTACCCATGTGGTATCAGGCTTCTACTGCATAAGCTTCTCTCTTAGTTTTTGTTAAGAATGCTCCATCACAGTTTATTTTTAGCCAGCCTCTTGGTGGAGCTCTCCACTTTGCCATGGGGGGTACTATGTTGTTGAGGTGACCCTTTGTCCTGTAGCTTCTGCAGCTGTCCAACTGCTACTAAGGCTTGGTCTATAACAGCTCTGGTGTCCAATGGATGATGAAGGAAGTTCCACTCGTTCCTCACCTTCCAAAGACCTGAATATGACCTGGTATACTTTCCAAACCAAACTCTCACTTCCAATAATACTAAACTCTTAGTCAAATAAATATTCTATAATTAAACAATCCAACAAAAAATAGTCCTAATTAAACTTTATTACCCCTTCTTCAGACTAAGAATTATGAGTCTTTCGTCTCGACTTCCAATGTCGATCTCAATTGTCCATCCACGCAATGGCTACACTATCAGCAAGTAATGTTCTGTTTGTACTTGGTCCTCACTCACTAGAGGTAATAACCTTTTCTACATATAGCCACGGAGGGATCCACTTGCTGTAGGTCTAAAAAATTGTTTTATACGCATTTTGTTGATAAAAGATTCTAAACCCCGTTGCTCTTTCATTAATTTCTTTTTATATTTCCCTTACTTCTGTTTTCTCCCCTTCCGTAAATCCAATTTTTCCTTTTTATAACATTCTCACTCTCACTATTATTTTTTGGCCGTACCAAAATTGGTGTCCTCATTTTCTCTTTATGAGCTCGACGGAGGCATCAGGAATTTCCAGTTAATCAAGCCTGAAATCATTTTATCAATAGCTGAAAGGTTTTTGTTACCAAAATAACCTGATGGTATTCCTAGAGCCTTGGTACAGATCAGAAGAGGTGACACGGGAAATGCTACTAGATTGATTGATGAGAGTTGGTTGGCCCGTTCTCTACCGAAACAACTGACCCTTTGGACGACCGATGGCAGAAGAGAAAGATTCGATCTTTCAAGATCAGACTGAGAGATTTTTATTCCAACAGAACTCCCATCGCTCTACTTCTGCTTCCTATTGAAAGTTCTCTCTCTTCATTGATTGATTTCATTCCCACTGAAAGAGAAAGAGAAGGTTCCCAGTATTCCTATGCAGTCACTTTCAAGGATCAAGTTGGGTTAGTGGTGATATTTCTTAGAAGTGACTCCACTAAATATTACTGCTAGATGTGTAATATATTCTTCTTGTCATTGTTGAGAACTTGATCCTAACTTAGAAGATTGATTTCAGAAGTTTGATACAATATTTTCAATTGTAGAACTGCATTCATGGAAGAATTTTTGAAGTGTTATGGAGGAGTTTTACAACTTTAAGGTCCTGCTTTTTCCATGTCAACTTCCTTAAGATTTTTTTGGTGATTCTTTCTTGCATTGTTGATGAATTACATCAAAAGTTGTATAGAGACTAAAAGTATAGTAAATCAGCATTACAGCAGTGCTGATGCTTAACTTGTAAAAGCCTGAGCTCCAGTGATCCCACGAGAAACAAATTGTTGGAATTGGCAAGGATGGGAACCACTCCCTAGACTTCCGGTGTTCGTTGCTGCGGCAAAAAATTGATAACTGTACTCAAGAATCAATGAGGAACGTGATGGTCTAACCAACCCAACCACTGTGTATTCATTCCCCAGTAAGCCAAAGTCCCCGTGGAGGAAGCAGTAATGATCAACAAAAAGATGACCGCCGTTCAAGGAGCAATTCCTTGTCTACAGTGTCTCCTCCCAAGAATCGCAACTGCCATCATCATGAAGAAAAAAGTGTGTTCACAGACAACAAACTTGTCAACTCATCCAATCTTGAAAAGAAAGCAATACAAAGCATTGGAAATGGTAATTGAGCGTGGCATTCAAAGGGATTTCTCTCTTTAGGTGGATGGAGCAAACCATGGTGGAATCCTGTGGGCTCATGAAGTATGAGAGCATACTGTGCTTGCCCCAGTGCTCCTACGAAAACCATAGTGATCATCCCTTGAGAGCATCGAGAACAGCCAGGTACTTTGCCCACTTCACCCCACACACTGAATTTCAACGCAGAATATGCTATGTTGGGGTCTATTTCTGTGTACTTTAGCTTCATGCTCTGTGCAAGTGCCATGAAGCAGTATATAATCGTGATCATTGATTGACCAAGCAACCCTAATGGTATATCTCTTGATGGATTTCTTGTTCCTTTGCCATTGTGACAAAATTGCCAAATTCTCCATAAGCAAAACATACAACTGCTGATCGGAAGATCTCTTCAGAACCACAAGAGAGAAAAGGTTAAATCTCATTACTATCGTACTTATATCAAATGCAATCCACTGATTTTTTTCTGTGTGTTGATCATGGCAATTGTCGCTGCAATCTCCAGGAACTCCAACAGCAATTGGGTCCAGGAAGTCAGACTCACCTTTGAGATTTGTATGCATATACAATGAATTTGGGTGTCAGTCCAATAGAGTCTGTGAAGTAAGGAGTCCATGATCTTGCAGTTGCTGCATTTCCAACCATGCATTGAAGAAGTATGTTCCCTGCTGTTGCAAATGCTGCTAGGTCTCCTGGTTCTGTACTTGGGTAAGCACTACAGGAGTTTCTACTGCAAATTCCATGTATCCGACAATGGAACACTGCTGAAAAACCTGATGCTGCCGCATACGATAAAGACTTAAGAAGCAAGGATACAGACACGAGATACGGACACGTGGCACATCATTTTTTTTAAAAAAAGTAGGGCACAGGCAAGGGAAGACAGGTTTCCAAATAATTATGTTCTATAGCAGACAGATTATATGGTTTGTAATCAATACAAAAATAGCTCTAATACTATTTATAAGAGATTCAATACTTTGTGTCTGGTAAAGCTTTTGTCTAGTCAACTACTATGGATTTTCAGACTAAAAAGTTATAGTTGTCAATAATTATCAAATTTTTTGGACAAATTACCTAGCAGACAGATACTACCATAATGATTATTTTTATGTTCTCAATTTCCTATTTTTATTTATATATTGCTTTGATTAGTGGATTTCTGGTATAACTTTGCAGGACTAGTCTAACAGTCATATATTTTTCATAGCAGAACATGTCAAATTTTTAATCTTTTTCAATTATATTTCAACACATGTTTATATTTCTATGATGACTAAAGACGTAAATATGTGTTGGACAGTTACCAAATAAGCGATCAATAAATACCCAAAATTAAACTTTTTTTTGTTTTAATTATGGACATGAATAAAGGAGTATCCGATTAGTGCTTGACAAGTGTCGGTTGCTATGAAGGTATGCTCTATAAGGAAATTTCATAAGCGGATCAATTTGACGATTTGAATATGAAGTTAGGAAGGAGGAATCCAATATCAAAAATTGCTTAACATTGATAAGATCCATCCATTTATCAATTCAATTTTTGTTGTTACGGTGTATTTTCAAGTACAGATTTATTACCAATAATAAAATATTAATGCACGGCATCCTTAGTGATATGTTGGCTTCAATTCTTCATCCTTATCTTATCACCTAGGTATGACCCATTTGCATGTTCGCATCGTGGGATTTTATGTATCCTTATCTTATCAACTATTATTCCGCTTCAGAAAAGTTCATAACCGAGGTCATCATAGGCCTGATAGCCAACTACTGAATTAGGTGGCCTTCTGTTCAGCTAAGTGAAAAGAAAGAAGAAAGAAAGTATTACCTGGCTTATTTACCTTTCATTTGGATCAAGACCCTATACCTTCTTTTTTTTTTTGGGGTGGGCGGAGTGGGGAAGGGAGAGTTTGAACCTTTGATCTTAAGAAGGTAAAACCTTCATAAAACAAGAAATATCATTGGACCCAAGGCCCTTTGGTCAGGACCCTATACCTTGATTCATTGCTTGGTTCTGTTAATTATCACTCTGCAACCTCATTGTTCATGCATGAGACACTTCTATTACAAAAATTAAGTGAAAATATGATGGCATAATTTGCAAATCTACAAGGGGAAAAAATTGCCGGAATTCACTAAAAAATTCAAGAATTTTATAGTTTCGGAAAGCGAGAAACTCGCATTCATGTATCATTGATACAAAACTTTCTTTCTCGCCACTTGAAAATCATCCCTCAACCCTCAAATAGAAGAAAACCAACATCTGCATGAAGCAGAACCAAGAAGAAAAAACATATAAACTAATCCTTGCACCTTAAATTCTCTAATCTCCGGGTAATGGGGAGGAAGAAGTTACCAGCAAATCATGACAATCTCACTAAGCTTGAGTTGGAAAAACCTTAAATGTCATGGGGGAACTTCTCCATGTTTCCAGCCAGAGCACACAAACCCATCCCACTTGAAAGAAAAGTAAAGAAATCAAAAGATTATGTCCACGATTTCCAAGCCTTGTGCATTTTATTAGCTAGGTATCTGACTCCATGAACAGCACCAACTGTCAGAAAACCAGCAACAGCCTGCCTTGCACTTGAAACCATAACCCTATGACTCACAAGCTTCCGCAGACAGTTTGCAACCTCCTCTCTAGAACTAAACACAACTTCACGTATAACTCGACCTACAAAGAAAATGTGATGTGATGCAATCATCCGCTATTACTAGGGATGCGTAAAGGAAACATCAAAGAAAGAACTTCAAAATATCAAAAAAACATTAAGATATCTGCCTCAGAAACAGAATTAGTATATAACTTTGTGTCATGAATAATTCAGAAACCAGTTGTCCCTATTGGAGCGCACATACCACTTTCATCCAATTTCTTTTTCTCGCCTAGTTTCATCCCCATTTCACTTCTTACCCTCGGAGGAAGAGAAGACACAAGGGAGGAAGCAGCAGACAAATGACAATCCTGGTGTTGGGAATCAAACATATCAGACTCTTTGGGATCATGTTAACATCATAAGCACATTATTTTAAAAATCATTTGCATCCTAAAGCAAGAAATTTTAGTCAGCAGTTTTCATATGGAACTGATTTTAATAGTCATAGAAACAAAGTGTGTGTAGATGACACCAGACCAAAATTAGACAACATGACTTCCATAAAACAGAAAAGAACATTAAATCTTTTCAATTAACTTCAAGTTATAAAACTTGCAGCACGACATCAACTTGTTGGATAGGATCCAAAGATTCCTATATTCAACTCCCACTTCAAAAAAATGAAAAATGCAGATCGTAAGTTACAGGGTTTTACAGCTCAGATAAATAGCCTGATGAAGGTTTCTACTTTAGTAACCATAAATGATGTTTTGTCCATGTTTATCAGCATCCTGGAAATTCTGAAGATACACACTAAAAGACTAAAATTACATGACCAATAAGAAATTAGCCATATGCATTTATGCTTATTGGATATGGTTCTGGACCTTCTGGTACTAATATTGCTTCCTTATTAGTAATCATATTTGATTTGCTGGGAAAAAAAAATAATGTCTAGTTTCACAATGAATATACAAATATCTTATGGCCAATTATGCTGCAGTAAGAGGCCCAGAGGAATTTGATTTTCCAAATAATTAACAAAGATGAATAGTTGAGCTCACTTCAAAAGTATAATCAACATCAAACCACAAAAAAATTAACGCAACTATGGGTAGAGGAGCTTGAGAATACAAACAGACCTGAGATATATTCAATTGATGATCAGCAGATGATGACAATCTCAACAAATCCTTAGTCGCATGTTCTTCTAGAAATGGCTTATACATTTCCCGGAATAAATTAAACTGCCCTTGTACAATCTTCTTTACCTGGGGTAGGTAAAAGAAGAGCAACTTCAATAGAATCGAAGAACTAATGCCGGTCATTTAACCACCTCAGGTCAAGGAAGTGCTGTATCAGCTGTTAGGCATCAATAACACATCCAAAACAACAAATATATGCAATGAGCAGATATCCAAAAAAGAGTAAAAATAGTCCCAAATTATAATCGAAGACATATCTCAGCAATAGCAGAGATTCTATTGGTATGCTTGTCAAAAGCAACAATTTTTTGTCCTTAAGAGGTTCACAAGTCTGACCAATATTATCTCTATCGTCTAGAAATAAACCTAGGATACTTTCACTTCCAAAATCAACCTTACCTTATTTCTGTCTTCTGCAAAAAACATTCGCAAGTCACCCATGTATGATAGGCTACATATTTTGGCAAACAGATCTTCCTGCATGTACACAAACTTTTAAATATGAATGCTTCCTAAATTATTGAAAGGTGAAAAAGAAGCACCTCAGTGAATTTGGGTGGCAGAAAGAGGAGAGCAGCAGAGGTGGCAGCCCTCAGATTGACAGAGTTCAGATTTCCAATCTCAAAATTATCCACAAGTATATGAACCTGGAAGGAAAAAGATAGGTGACACCCCTGATGTCAGATATAAATGTATATAAGAAAATGTCCCGCAATTAACATAAAACCAACACATAGGGATAGTACGAGACATAATGCATGCAAATTTTGTGGAATAAATGCCTCAAAAAAGATCATCACCTAGCTGTAGAAATCCCTAAGTTCATTGCATCATGCAACAAAATGCGGCTCTGTACACGTTGATACATACACAAGTTTGTGCGTATTCAAGCGAGATCTTCAACCATACCAACACAGTCTAGGATTAGAAACTAGAAAGAGCAGCGCAAACTTGCTCAGAACAAAGAAGATACATTACTTCTAAGTTGTATATGCTGGCAATCAGCATTAAGCAATTCCAAAAAATGGCATAATCTAAATCTGGATTTGCAGGTGATAGTAAGTTCAACTTTATAGTCCAAGAAAAGACTATATGCTTTGAACAGAGTCTAGTAGTTGAATATTATTGTAACTCTGTAGGTCTTACTGGCTCAGAGTCTATAGGAGAAGAAGAAACGTAATAAGTTAAGAACTATTTTTGAGTTTCCTCATGATTGATCAGCACGTTATTAAACTTCGGTTATGTTTTGTAAAGAAGTGAATATCTTGCACCTGTCACGATATAAACCCATGAATAGCTTCAAGCTCTACTTCGACAATTGTATAACCTCCATTAATTGCTGGTGAAAATCACTCATCGCTGATAGACAAGGTAGGAGGGGGGCAGTACGATATACCCCATGAAAATAGCATTATTATCAAGTCTTGTTTTACTTCAAACAAATACATATATTAAGTCGACGAAGACATTTTCTGTGCCTTATTTTCCAGTTGAAAAATAGATAAGAGAGATCCAATAACTATATGCATACAGGTTTCTGCAAACGACCACTCAAGTAGAACCTCTCCCACTTTGATATGTCTTGAATCAAGTCATCCATTCGAACAACGCCATATTTGAACATCTGTCAAAGCTACTCGAGGTGAGAATTTCAGAAATGCAATGAAGACGAACATATAGAACAAAGTAATAGTAATAACAACATGCAATACACTGCGACTGTTCTCGCCTCCTCTTTCTCTTGCACACACAAATTCACAAAACAGAGGACAAGGAACATGCAAACTAACCATGTGTGGAAACATGAGTGGCGGATACCTTGTCTTTCCAAGAAACAAATGGGTTGAAGTGAACACCAACACCAACTCCATCAGCAACTTTAGTAATCTAGGACAACCAATCAAGAATATATTGTGTTAAAGCCTAAAGGCATCAAGCACAAATTCTAAAGCGTGAGGGAAAGAAAGAAAGACAAGCACCAATTTTGCTCCGCCGAGGTGCACCATCCATGATGCATAATGATCATGGTTCATCTTCAGATTCTTGAATGCCAAAGAAGCAAATTAGAGTCTACAAAATGTCACATCTTTTGTTCTCTAATATGGAGGAAGGACAGAGAAACAAGGGGGGGAGGAGGTTGATTTTGTAAGAGCATTCACCTCAGAGTGCCATTGTTGAGGATCCAATACTCCAAGAACGTAATCTACCATGGATGACTACATAGTAACAGCAACACAAAAAAGAATTTAAGATATAGAAGTCATTAAGACAAAATAAAAGGCCCAAAAAAGAAAGTTGAAGGTCAAGGACTAAGAGAAAAGGAAAAACCTTGTCACTATTATTTGGATGAAGGGTGGAGCCATAAACGCAACAGAACTCTACAGGGGGGAGAATTTTCAGCAAACTCCCAAGCTCCGCCCCATTTTCATACTCCATTTTTAAGCTCATTGCTTTATCTACATGTAACAACCTGAATAAATAAATAAAATAGGTATGCACCAACAAAATCATACTAAAACTCAAGCGCCCACAAGGGTTTATGCAGAGTCATGATATAAAAAATTCCTAAATCCTATATATGAGAAAACACAAATGTGGTATAGAGTTTAGCCTCTGAAGAGACATTTCAAACACCCGAATTGCAACTAGAATTGGGCTACCTCAGAGTAAAACCTGGCATCCATTTTTACGTGGGTTTGAAAATTTGAATAAAAAATTATGATACTTAGGTCTGGCATGTGACTTTTAATTTGCAGCAATAACTGGGTGATCAAAGTTGGAAGAGATTACCAACAAACTTATCTGGAGGAGCTAGTACGTTTGTCAAGAGAACCAAACTGGACTACCTAATTGGTTTGCGCGGCAACGTTTAATTTAAACCCCATTTTAGTTGTATTTTCTTTAGTACTGGGCTAAAAGTAGTCCTAATGAGATTGGACCATTTGGCTTCTTTGATTTCCATGGTTTGCCTTTTTTGTTGATAATCATAAAAATGATTAAACTTTTTAAAAATGAAATAAGTTTTTCTGAGGGACTAAAACTTCTGAAACTCCTTTAAAATGCGTCCACATAAGTTTTGTGAATAATATAATGTTTATTTTTGAAAGGATAAGGCACTTAACTAAGCAATATGAGCCTCCTATTGCAAAGTGAGATTAAATGTTTGACAAAATTACATCCAGATCCCTTAAAATTTGTCACTTAATCACTCAGATCCTCTTACATTTAAAATATTACACACAAACCCCTTGAGATCTGTACGTACATAACCTTAGACCCTTGTCGTCAATGTCCGTTAATAAATCTATTTGTAAATTATACCCAGAGCCCTTAAAATTTACAGGTATATAACACTTAGACTCTCAAGTTTAAAATATTACACTTAGAACACTTTTTAGTTACAGAACTAATCAAATCAATTAAACGACCAAATTATCTCAATTAAAGATAGAAGATATTGTATTCATTACGATTTAATCTCTTGTTTGATTTTTTAGTTTTATTCCAATAGATAGTATAATTGTATATTAATTATGATTTTTTTAATGATAAAAAAAAATTACAATTTGTTTTTAAAAAAAATTGATTTTTATTCAATAAATGACATAATAGAACATGAATTTTATATATAAAATTTAAAATATTTGATATTCTATTTTTTATTGGAGTATTTTTTGTTTAAGTATAAACTTGAGGAGTCTAAACATTGTATGCCTAAAACTTCGGAGGATCTGAGTGTAATTTATTAATGGATAGACTAACAAAGACAATAGGAGTATAAGTGTTACACGCGTACAAACTTCAGGGCGTTTGTGTGTAATATTTCAAATGACAGAGAATTTAAGTGATTAAGTGACAAATCTCAGGAGATTTGGATATAATTCTCCCTAAATGTTTTTAGGCCAAATTCTTGCATGTGGCTATGGTGCCAGCTAACATTTTTATTCAGCACATCTCATTTTTTTCCTTTGCATTTTCTTTTTAGTTGTTGGTAGAATGGAATAGGTCCTAAAAAACATGCATAAAAAAGTAGGTGCGAAACTTAGACAAGCTGGATGGTATGAGGGGTCAGCCTAGAATCCCCCTAGATATGAAACAATCAACTGAACTAAACCCAACCTGAGCACCCTCAACTTGTGCACAATAGTTGATTAGATGTTTGAACTTAGGCTATACAAACCGGTTTGCATTTAAGTAGAACTAGGGGTGTTCACGAAAAGAGAGGAGAGAGAAAACTAGTTAAAAGGAATATCTTCTTCAAAATTTAACAACATGAATATTAAAAAATAAATCGAACTTTCTTGTCCAATGCCATGGGAAATTTGGATATCTACGTTCAAATGTCACACCCCGAAACCAACTCTCAACTCAGACCAGAGGAATGAGTTTCAGTGTAACAAAAACAGTCAAATATATATCATGTATTTAAAATTCCAAACTCCATAATACAAACTTCTGAAGTCAAACTACAATTCATTAAAAAATATTTCTATTCCCTTTCCGAACAAAGTCCAATTCCATCAAGATCCCTGACCCAAATAGGTTTTTCCTCTGGACAGCTGGGTACTACATGAACGAGGTAAATAAAGTAAGGCGAATATCAACAAGCTTAGTAGGTTACCCAATTCTGAGATAAACCAAGTTTGAAAAATAATAGTTTGCAGTGATTGGGAAATAAAATAGTTTTACGAATACTTGCCTATAAACTGAAAACAATTTAGTAACAGTAACACATAATTATAACCAAAACCGATGTCAAAGTGTGACCAGAGAACTAGCACCTTGAGAAGGAAAAAAAAAGGCAAATTACTTGATGGAAAGGAAACATCACGATACCATGTTTGAAAATGGGAGCCCAACAACATAGGAGGAATCATTCCACATACGAAACATCCAAACTCATACATAAATAATTATGCTACTAACGAGGGAGAAACAACGAAGACTAACCTCCCACTTCCTTCCAGAAAAACCAGAATAAGGAAGCTATAATTCTGAGAAATTCATCTCAGAAGTACTCTAACAAAAAAACTTGTTTTGTTAGTCTTCTAAGCATCCTACGGACCAACCAAATAACCACAAGTCGCAAAATCGCCAACGTATCCACACTCTAAAAATGACCAACGCATTCACACTTGCAACATCGCCAACGCAAAATCCCGAACACATTCACAAAATCGTACTCTTATGAATTGGAAAACCCCAAATTTCCGGCAATCCACATTTTCTTTCAAACCCCAAAAATTGCCAGCAAACAAACATCACATAAAACCATAGAATGTAGAGTGGGAATGGAGTGAAAATCCAAGAACCTAACCTGTTTTATATGCACGTTGAGGAGTCTCTACAGGCCTAATAGATTCTCTGGAGTGTAGTGGTAGTGGTAGTGGTAGTGGAGGCGATTCTCCTCCTCTGAAAAGCTAGGGCTCACGGATTGAACAGAGGTGTTTTATCAATTCGTAACAGAGAAGGGAAGAAAGACAGGTCGCTTGCTTCGAAATGTTTCGTAACAGACAGAGAAGGGGAGACAAAGAGAGATAGGCAAGAAAAATACAGACAGAGAACAGGAAAATATATAGGAACGGAGAGAGGGCTCGTCGATGGCGTGGGGTTTTAAAATCTAGGAAAAATTACACCTAGACCCTAAGGTTTATTACTTAATATTACGCTCAAACCCCACCTAAAATTATACACACATACTGTTAGTAAATTATATCAAAATCCCTAAATTTTTTTTTTGGGAAAGCTAGATCCCTAAAATTTTACTTTAACCTTTTGAATATAAAATATTATTATATTTAGATCAAAAATACTCTAATTAAAGATAGAATATCAAATATTTTAAATTTAAGAACCAAAAAGTATGTTCTATTATATCATTTATTAAAATAAAAATAAAAATAAAAATTCAAATTATTTTTTAAAAAATTATAATTTATTACTGTTGATGCAATTTGAATAACCTCCACGTCAATTTGTAGACTTTGATCACCCGGAAAAAAAAAAGTAAGAGATGAATCGGAGCTCTAAGGGTCGACTCACTGATGCTTAGGTCAATAAATGATTCGAATGTATGAACTACGTTTAGAGAATTTTGGTCCAATGATATTCTTTGTCATGTAAAAGCTTTGTTTTGTTGAGGTCAAGGGTTCAAGTCCCCCGTCCCCTTTCCCTTTTTTCCAAAAAAAAAAAAAACAAAAAAAAAAGAGGAGAGGAGGAACATACCTAGAGCATCTTAGACTAAATGGACTTTTCACCTTAGATCAATTTTACCATCATCAAGTCTGAACATATGAAATAAGTTTAACTAACACATTTGCATATTCCCATTATATCATCTAACATAAAAATCAAACAAAATCTCAATTTTTTGAGGAAAAAAAAAAAAAAAGGTATAAATATGTCAAAGAACTTAATTCAACACTCATTCAAATACAAATATATTGTCTATTGGAATAAAACTTAAAAATCAAATAAGGAATCAAAATATAATGGACACCATATTTTCTATTTTTAATTGAATTAATTTGGTTAAATTTGTTAGTTCCATAAGTAATAAAAGTCTAAATATAATATTTTAAACTTGCGAAGTCTAAGTTTTATATAAATTTCAGGAGATATGAATGTAATTTTTTAATGGATATGTTACGGGACGACAAAGTTTATGTTTATAAACTTTAGGGAGTTTGTGTATAATATTTTAAATGTTATAAGGTTTAAAGCTATAAAGGACGGATATTTTGTTAAAGTTGATGTACCCGTATCGGATACAATACTCGAAAATACGTATCGGATACACCTTCTACGTATCTGATAATAATTAAATTTAAAATACTTCACATATATTTTTATAATAGAGCAACATATATAATTTTTTAGTTGAACTTTTAATATATCTTTTTGAATTCATATACTATACAATACATTAACAAAAATTTCATATTACTTCAAAGACAAATGAGTATTTTTAAATATTATCTACAATTACATGTCAAAAGATTATATAATAAAGCTATTTCATTAAAATCTTAGCAAAAATTACTTATAAATACTAAGTAAATATTAATTTTGATTCATTTAATTAGTTACATCACTTTGTGAATATATCATAATGACGCAATATATATTTTCTTGAAACAAAAAAAAACTAATAATTTTTTTTATTATATGTTAAAGAACAACTAAAATATATAAGTATTAAATTTGTTGAAAATAATAAAAATATTAAAATATTTATTATAGTCACATCCTGTCCGTGTCCGTATCCTATTTTTTAGACTTTGTCGTATCGTCGTATTCGTATTCGTATCGTATTCGTATCTCATATTTGTATTCATACCTTATAGGGTCTAAGTAATTAAATAATAAAATTTAAGAGATTTAGATATAATTTTCATTGGAGTTTTGAATTTTAGAGATAAAGAGAGACTTAAATTTAAGGCAAAACAC